TGGCGGGCCGGCGGCTCGGCCCCATCCCCTCGATGCCAGCGCCTTCCGCCTCAGCCCGGCCCTGGGCTCCTCCGCTTTCCCTCTGGAGGGGGCAAAGCTGCGCCAGGCCTCGCCTCGCCTCTTGCTTTTGCTTTCCTTTCTCCTCTCCTCTCTTCTTTTCTTTGGGAAAAAAACCCAAACCTTTAAAGGGTGTTGCAGCTTCTGGGAACATTGGTGGGGGCCTGGGGAGGGGAGGGCTGCCCCCTATCTTGATGTTCCCACCAGCCCCTGCCTACCCATGTTTTCCTAGCCCTTAGCCAGTCACGTCTCTGAGCAGAGTTTCACTGGGTGGTGTCTGCTGGCTCCTCCAATTTGTTGGAGGGCCAGTGTGCCCTACTCCTTGTTTCCCACCCCCCAGCACTTGTTGTTAACCTCTGACCCTCGCTGCCCTCCCTCTTATTGTTTCAAGTTGTCCCAAGAGCTCAGCTGATGCACACCTGATAGTCCTGTCCCCCTATCCTGTGGTTAGAGGAGGCTACAGTTCTTCTGTGGGCTATGCCCAGGATCTTCCCATGTATCATGGGGGCCTGCCTCCCTGTGCACCCAGCCTGGGCAGTGCACAGGGAAGGAGCAGCTTGTTCCCTCTGCTTTCCTCCTTGTTCAGGGTGTGAGCCCCCCACATCACTTGCTACAGGCCACATATACCCCACTCCAGATACAAAAGTTTTAATTTCCTACTGAGCTTTTCTTTCGTGCTGATCACTGGAGGATCCACGTGTTTCATAGGCATAAATGAATGTGTCCTTTCTGAGGCAGTGAGGGTGGTATGAGCTCCATTGTGCAGATGGCAGGGCCTGAGGACCAAGCTGAAAATGTGAGAGAGGGTCTTCAGAAACAAAGACACAGGAGAGGAACCTGGGTGTATTTGTCAAGTATGAATGCACAGGATGACTAGACAAGATGACTCCGAGTCCACAGTGGGATGTGGCTATGATCCTAGGATGCAGCAGAGCTATCTTTGGTAGTGATTGAGAACATCACTACCCTCATGCCAGATATTGGTACGAATTTTGTGATCCTAGGGTGCCACAGAGCTGTTTTCCATAGTGAGTTAGGAATTTTGACAGCAGCGCATAGGCTTCCAGATAGGTGCTTTTTAAGACACTTGCAGAAATAAGTACAGGGCTGTCAACCACAATGGTAATTTCTCCTGCTCCTACTTCGCCCAGCCCTTCAGGGAGGCAGGCGACTGGAGCCTCACAAACAGAACACGCAACCAGGCATGCTTCTAGGCCCAGCACGCGAGTTAGCGCAGGAGTTCGCACAGGAGGGCAGGCAGGAGGGGCATGAGGCTCCAGGCGAGGAGTCTGAAAGGAAGGTTCTGCACAGTAGTAGCCCAGATTATTATGAGCACCATGGTGGGAGGGATGCATCGCATCCTGAAGCTCCACCCTGCACCTGGACCCCCCTGCTCTGGTACTACCGGGGTCTCCACCCAAACAGAGCCCATGTTTCCAGCTTCTACCTAAACGGAACCTGTGGTCCCTGCTCCCACCCAGGCAGGACCCATAGCCCCAGCCTTCATTCAGATGGAGCCCCTGGCTTCCTGTGTAGGCTGCCTGGCACAGACACAGGCAGCTGGGTCTGGGAGCACTGACACCTCCCCTTGTGGGATGTGCTCAACAGTGGAGGCCCTGGAGTGCCAGATAAGGGAACTCCAGGCAATGGTGCAATGGCTGCGAGTCACTAGAGATGCAGGACAGTAACTGGACACCTACTTTCAGGTACTCCATTTAACGACTGACGATGCTTTGATGAAAATAAAGAGCCACCGTGAGGTTCAATCGGGCTGCCTGGATGGAGGTAGTCTCTGGCCCTTGGAGGCACTGCACCAGAGAGACCGTTCCCCTGGAACTGCACAACCGTTTTGAACCCCACACCAGCTGAAGCAGCCAAACTTCAAGCCCCAGCATATGAGGAAGGAGGGCCACCAGCAGCTGCGCCCAGAACAAGACGCAGAGTAGTTTGTTGGGCTTGTTTCCGTGATGTGACTGAGAGGATCCCCAAACTCATCCGGCCCTTAGACCACCATTTCATGCTACTCATCCATGTGGGCACAAATGACATAGCTTGGAGCAATCCCAGCCAGGTCATGCATGACTACAGGGCTCTGGGGGCTGGGCTCAATGGTCTAGGGCTCAAGTACTTTTTTCCTCAACCCTCACAATCACAGGTCATGGGCCCTGGAGGGATAGGTGCATTACTGAGGTGAACAGAAAACTTTGGCAATGGTGCCATTTTGAGGAGCTTGGCTTCTTTGACCACACTCTGCACTTCAGTGAGAGAGGTTGTGGACTGTTGGGAAGGGATGGCCTCCACCTCACCTGGAAAGGGAAGAAGCTCTTCTCGGTCAGAATGGCTGACCTACTCAACAGGGCTTTAAACTAAGATTGTTTGGGGATGGGCAGTCAGTCAGCAGTTCTAGCCCAGGTCATGCCAATCACAACAGTAACAGTTTAGGTAGCCCAAGGGAACCCACTCTGACAAAAGCCCAAGGAAAGGTCACATCCCTTCACATAAGAAAGCCTAGGGCTTCCCATGGAAGACTCGTTGCCTGTACACAAATGCCAGAAGCTTGAGTAACAAGCAAGAGGAGCTGGCCCTTCTCCTGACCAATAAAGTTTATGACCTTGTAGGGATAACAGAGACCTGGTGGGACTCTTCCTATGACTGGCTGGTAGGTATAGAAGGCTATACCCTCTACAGGAGAGATAGTGTTGGGAAGAGGGGTGGGAGTGTAGCTCTCTATGTCAAGGAGCAGTACACTTCCCTTCAAACTGAGCTCATTAAGTATGGAGGGCATCTTGAGACTCTCTGGGTTAAAAAACAGGGGGAGCATGGGGAAAGGGATATACTCGTAGGTGTCTGTTACAGACCTCCTAACCAAGAAGAACTGGCTCTCGAATTCAATAAGGAACTGGCCGAGGCTGCATGTTCCCAATGTATGATCATTGGATCATGGGAGACTTCAATCTCCCTGACATCTTGTGGGAAGAGCACATGGCCAGGTCTGATTGGTCATGAAACTTCCTCACCTGCACTGATGACCTGTATCTGATGCAAGAGGTCTACGGGTCAACTAGGGGAGAGGCACTGCTGGATTTGTTTCTGGCCAAAGGGGTTGATCTGGTGAGTTACCTGAGGATCGAGGGCAAGCTTGGTGATAGCAACCATGATTTGATTCTGTCTCCGTCCAACACAGGGTGGGCAAATCCCTCATAAAACAGAAATCCTCAACTTTGCGAAGGCTGACGTCCACAAACAGGAGACTGGTCAGCCAGGCACTAAGAGACCATGGCCTTCTAGAAAGGGGAGTCCACGAGGAATGGTTGTTCCTAAAGAACTCAATCCTCAAAGTGCAAGGGAAGTCCAGCCCGTCCTGCAAGAAATGCAGTCAGAGGGCAGGAAAGCCCCCTTGGCTCAACAGGGAACTTCTGGGTCTCCTGAAACAAAAAAGAGAAGTCTACATCAGATGGAAAACTGAAATCATCACCAAGGAGGACTACTCAGCACTAGCCCGTACCTGTAGGGAATGGCCCAGAAAAGCCAAGGCAGCAGCTGAACTCAGGCTAGCCATGGGAATCAAGGATAACAAAAAGTCATTCTTCAGATATATGGGAAGTCGGAGGAAGAACAAAAGCAACATTGGTCCCCTGTGAGATCAAATTGGGTAGCTGACATCTGACACCCAAGAAAAGGCTGATCTCCTAAACCAGGGGTGTGCAAAATACGGCCCACGGGCCGGATCTGGCCCACCAGGCCATTCTATCCGGCCGGTGGGGACCCTAAAAAGTGTAGAAAATTTATATCTGCCCCTGGTTCCTGTCAAAGATGACAGGAGCCAGAGGCAGTAGGACCCATGGTAAGCCCTGGCAGGGTCCCCCGGCCCTTCCCCCCCGCGCCGGCAGCAGGGAAAAATCAGCCTCCTCACCTTGTGGCTGGCGCTTCCTGCTGCTGCCGCTCGCAGCCTGCGCGGGGCTGTCCTGCCCCTGCACTGCATCAGCACTGCCCTGTGGGGCTGCAGTGGCAATGGAGAGCTGACACAGGTAGCCCTGCACGGGCTCCAAGAGGCTTCGGCACGGGGCGCTGGCCACGGGGAAGGGGAGCACCAGCTTGTTCCTCAGAAGCTGCTGCTCGGTGTGGAGGAAAGCGGCCCCCTCACTCACCGCTGCCGGGCAGCGTTTGCTGCAGCCGCCCACCCGGAGCCCACGCCATGCTAGGCTGTGGTGCAGCTGCTTCGCCACCATCTGTGTGCTGCCCAGTGGTGCAAGGGCGGCGACCGCGCGCGGGCGCG